TGGCTCACTGCTTGACTAGCCTATTGATACCAGGAAAATCGGTTTATGTACCCCATTCTAGTCGAAATTCTAGTACTACACTACGTTTGTTTTGATTCGCTATGAAAATTTAACAGATCAAATGAGGGGTTCGTGGATTTTCCTATGTTTCGAGGGGTGCATCGATTAGCTTGGGACCGAAGAGAATACCAGAGCTGAGCCAAAAGTTGAGCACGTTTCTTCGGGATCTTCTTGTCTTAGGGTGGTCTCTGGGTCTTGGGGTGGCATTTTTTTTCGCTCTTGGTAGTTTTCAGTGCCAAATTGGAGATGAAGAAGTAGGGTTACGTACCCCAATTCCCTCCTATTAAGCACAACCCACACTTAGTCTTTCTTAATCTTACGTAGTTTAGCACCAAACGGAATGTTATTATTACTGGTGGCTTCCAAATTAATTTACCTCTCCCTACGTATCGTAAGATTTGATAAAGAGTAACAGATTGTTGAGATATTGTTAAAAGTCTAACACTGCTTCTTGACGCCAAACTTGGCCTACGAATTTTAAACTAGGCTTAACGCATTGAAACGCCAATGTATTCAATTCGGCCTATCGGATGAAGAAAAAAATATTCGGTCGAAGCACTTCATCTGTTTTTGAGAATATTGGGTGCAAACATTTATATCACGCGTACTTATTGACTTCGTTCGGTAGCATTTGAACTTAAGTATCGTACCAAATGCTCAATTTACCTGTTCACGCCAAAATCATGGATTTATTTAATGCTTTCTGCTTGATAGGCCCAAAATGGACGCTTAGGCCGAAGTAGTTCTCTGCCCTATTTTCGTTGGTTTTTGGAGAGATATATCAAGAGCAAATTTTCATTATGTCGTAAGTAACATTCGCACCAATCCGAGAAAAATAAAGTTTTGTTTTGATGACCGAAAAGTTATTCCTATTTCCAATTAAACACATATAATCCCATAGTGATAGCAATGTTTAACAAATTTAGCAGGGTTTTAATCATACAAAAGCAAATCGCTAGCTTTCATGCTAAAAAATACTGCACACTACGAAAAAGACATGTAAATTTCAGTGCCCTGAGACCGACACATGCAAGCGGCCCTTTTGACATAAGAATCAGTTGACAAGGACGAGAAAATCAATTCAATCAAACGCACTTTTCGTCGAGTTGCATATGTTTAAGTTTCAGGACACTTAATTTTACATGTCATGTTTGCTTACGTTCCATGATTTACGTCAAAGCTGAATTACGTCTCGTGTAAAAATAATAATTTCTAAGTGTGTGGTTTTTGAGTCAAAATTTATTATGCGTCGTTTAGTGGCCCCTATTGTTACTTAAGTCAAAGTGTATTTACCAGGATATTCGGGAGAATTATCAATTACGTCTCCTTACGTGCAGCCCATTCATCATTTTAGGACTACTGAAATCATCTTAGCAACAAACAGTTCGATTTATTCACTTTAATAATAAGAAAGCGAAACGACCAACGTACACTTTTCACGGGTTTCTCAGCGCTGTTACTTAAGTCAAACGGCATCTCCATAGATATCGGGTGACTTAAGTAACATCGAAAACTTTTCTGATCGGAAGGTGATTACGTCAAAAAACAATTTGACTGGTAAATAAATTTAAAAATAGGATGTGATCCTATATTCGGACAGTATACAGTGTAATAGCAGGAGCATCGATTGACACTGATAGCTCGACTTTGTTTACCTTTGTTACTTTCGACGTAATGAAAATTTGCTCTTGATATATTCGCATTATGCAGAGAGAGAGAGGATAACGAATTATCGGTGAAAAGGGAGAGATGAAAATATGAACGGTACACTGATAAATTTAACTATTCCTATTTTGCTTGAAATTTAATCAATTTGACATTAAACTCAGTTTAATCATATCAAATGATTAAAAATTAATCCTCTCTTTCTAAAAATTAAGCATCTGATACTAATCCCAGTTTAATCATGGATGATTAGATTGTAGATTATCTTTTTTTGAATAAATTTCAACCATTTTTGATTCTATTTTAATATTTTTTGATTGAATTTTAATCTTTTTTGGTTGTATATCAGTATTGAAAAAGAATAAAATTTAATACTGGAAAGATTATTTCGAATTTAATCATGCATGTTTACTGCCGAAGTAATCATGGCTCGGACTCAATAAGGTGAAGCGGGAATCTGCATACTTTTTAAGCTTTTTTGATTTAATTTATCTTTGAGTGTATACAACTCACCGAAAAGTAGGTTGAGTGAGGAAATGCTTATCTTACAGCTATGTAAGAATTTCTATCCCTGTATATATATTAGTTACCAACCGAACCACCAGCATAGATCCAGTTAGTAACAACACGATTCCAACAAACACCATACAATCATTATTCGGGCCATATCATCAGAAGCCAGCTATTCCACAGCCAACCTGAAGCTTGTTGCTAACAACATTTGCGTACATTCCATAGCCACCGTTTAACCCACATCAGCAGAAGTAAACAGTTCAACCGAGTGCAACGATCGAACACTATTTTGGCCTCATCAGCAGATAACATCCTGACCACAGCGACGACGACGACAACGACGGTGGACGACCCTTGGACATGCTAAGTCAGCAGATCAGTTAGCTAGCGCAGGGTAACTTTAAGTATCGCTTAATATAGAAATTCATTCTTAGTTTAGCAGCTCAATCGTTCAGATCTCTTTTTTTAAAAACCCGTATCCGACAACCCGTCACATAATTTATTAACATTCAAAAACAAAACAATTTTGCTTACAAGAAACTGATATACAATGCTTACCTCCTGAATTCATATTAAATACACATACCTTATTCCTCGTTATCGCTATCTCCTGATTTGTCTCGCTCGAAATAGTTAAATAGAGTACAGGAACCAAAACGATGACACTTCTCAACAGAATGTGAGAAAGGAATAAACTGAATCGGTAGTATTTCGGATTAATGGAGGCACAACACAACTATACTTTACATATACATTTATTCTGAACTCTTTTTGGCGGTTTACATTTGTTCACAAGTCGATTTTCATTACGGTTTTTTTTAAATCATTTTAACTCCTTGATTATAGGCTTCGAGAAAATTTCTTATACCATTTTCTAGTTTGACAAATGGTATTGAGTTATTCACAACTAGTAAGATTCACTGACATTTACAATTAGGCTATGATGACAGTAAAGTGTAGCAATTTCAAACTTCAAGACCTGATCTCCAGGACAATTCGGAGAATGGAACATAGTTTGTTAACACCGTCATATACCTCACTTGATGTTGTGGGGCTGTATGATGCGGATTTGGTTATTACAATCTGTTGGTACATCATACAATACACCGTTGAGTTTGTAGAGTTAATCTTCAAGATGATTTGAAGGACCAGCAATATTTGAGATATGTCTTTTTGATCATACCGATTCAACATATTGGCTCGTTGTTTGAATAACACTGTTCAAATTGATGCATGTTTATTATTGAATGAAGGTCATAAAAAAGTTTATGAAAATCCCATTTTGCTTTTTCTTAATAATTGAAGTATTGTTGTACAATATTCATAGAGAAACTGTATGTTTAGCTATAAACAGTGATTTTTGACTGCTAATCTCTTACCAATCGCCAATTGGTACACTATTACAATTCCAAACATTTTTATTGATAAATTTCCATGTGAAATTCCACATGATTTTCATGTGAGCACACATAAACAGAATCCACCCAGAAGCACACATGAAATGTATGAGTCTAATGAATAGTACGTGTGGTTACACTTGGCTTTTTTATGTACACATGTGACACATAGATATCATTCGTTGATCACATTGCAAAAATTCATGTGTGGGACCAATAAAAACAGCCTTTGACACTTCATTAGTGCAGGGATCATTAGGATGCCTGCTACTGGTCGGAAGGGCTGGCAGGCTCTGCGTTTTCATTATTTTCCATATATGGTGGAACCCACGGAGTGGCTTCACATTCCGATGCAAACCACTTTCACTGATGACTTTGGACCTGAACTCTTTGGTCACTTTTGTTTGTTCCTTATCAACAATATGCTGCAGGTTACTCAGTACTGTTTTTTCGAGCGTGGCTTCTAGTGGCAGTATTTTGAATTTCTCTCGAAGCGATTCAGGCAAAGGAATCCTTAGAACATACAACCAGTCCTGGTGCAATGGCTTGTGCCTTTCCATAGTGCTTGATTTAGGAGTAGGGTTTTTGGCATCAGGCATATTTATAGTTGTATGTTGGGTTTCATCGCGAAGTAAATGTAATTCTTCACCGTTCGTATTTCGAGCTTCAGAAGCAAATGGTCTGGTTTGCGTTGCACCAGCAGTTTCCGCTGCTCGATCTCTACGTTCAGTTTCTTCATTATTTGCATTTTGAGAAGAGTCAGTCTGGTTAGGGTCCGACATATTCCTACGTTGTACCATAATTTTAGCGCAATCATTTTCATCCACTATTATCTTAACAAAATGGGAATTTTTTCGAAACAACTCTTTAGAATAGTAAAAAGAAATGTTCTGTTTCGGCAAAAAATTCAGAAATGGATAGTTTTCTCGAAGATATTTCAGGATTTTGTTGATGTGCTTATACCACTCTCGATTCAGGCCCGATTCGATCCGAGCTAGGAGATGCACTTTGCTGCTGAGGTTGATCAATTCAGACTCACCCCGAATTTCACTGATGTCGCTTACTGCTAGACCGTTGATTAGATTCTGAATGATCATTGGACCACACAAGATAAATGGTATGAAAATGAAAACCTTAATAAGGTCGATTTCCATCGATGCCGCTTCCAGCTCTCCGATGGTCATTACTAGAATTTTGACCCCAGCATTCAGACCGGTTCCGAACTTGTTGAAAGTATCGTTTTCGGTGTTGATTTCAGTAGAATTCGAACCCTTTGATGTCGATATACTGTTATAAACCAAATAGAAGCTGTAAAAGAAGGCCAACAGGATCGGACAGAAAGCGACGATGCTTAGGAAAAAGTTTTTAGCCACCACCAGCAGCATCCATCTGTAAGTGGAGAAGATATCGTCCGAAAATGCACCTGCGAGGCAAATAATGTCATATGCAAAAAAGAAGACGCTCAGTGCAGCAAGCAATATAAGGAATCCGACATCATTCGAATTCAGGCTCAAAATGATGCACATAAGAAAAATTTTAGCTATGTCGCAAATATTTTCATGCTGTCGAAAGTAACGATTGCCAAACACAGCCCACTGAAATAACTCTCGTATAATAATAAATAGACATCCAATCCAACTCCAGACGTATAACGCACTCGAGTAGTTTCCATGGCAAAAGTATTCTAATGTATACCAAATAAAGACAACTGCCGTTAACAATGTACAGAACAGATTAATAACGTGCAAAATACTCCAACGTAACCATTCGATTTGAACATAGGTTTTAATCACTGGATGGTTGAGGAGTGGCTTCAGTTTACTGGAGTTTGAAATTCGCTTGATGCAACCAATTGTCGATAATGTTTGCCTATTGTCATTCTTTGGATTCTTATGTTCAAGTTTGGTTTTATGTTGCATTTTTTTCGAATAGTATGGACATAAACCGTTGAAGTCTAGTTTGAACTCCTTTTCTTTACCGCTGAATGTTTTAACGGTCTTGTCCAAATATTCTTTCAGGAATGCATGCTTCGCGTAGTCCAGGGGAGTTTCGCCCTTTTTGTTGCGAACACCCAGAAATCCGGTTGTACGTTCCGTACAAATTGTCATGGCAATATCCTCCAGACCATATTTGAGCGCAATGTGAAGGGCAGTGTTCCCATCAGCATCCGTCTTCGCAAGGGAGATCCTTTCATCGCTTACCATCATTCTAGCACATTTCACGAGATCAGCCTTACGTTCGTTTTTGTCATCCAATTTCACGCAATGATGCAGAGTGAGTACCAGTATGGGTTCGTCATTGATGAGCAGCTTATCTTTATCCATTTTTTTCAAAAGCAGTTTCAGCACAGCTGTGTTTGTACTGTCACAAACCTTTCGCAATAGACCCTTCAGCTCGACACGATGCTGTAGTTCGATTGTTTTTGTTCTTTTTTCTACACCGTTGCTTTCGGGTTCTTGGCTTCTAACTCGGAAGATTTTGCTACCAAACTTTTTAACAATAAGCTCCACGCTTTTGCTTAAATTTAACTTCACAGCGGTGTGTAGCCAAAACTTGATCACCTTTTTCACGAAGCATTCCGTTTCCTCTACATTTAACGAGAGAAGCTTTTCCTCAAACTTTACCTGGTCCTTAAGCCGAAGAAAAGACTCCAACAACTCAATATCGCTTATAGCTTTGGCCCTTTTAGAACACTCTTCCAGAAATTCCTCATCATCCTTTTGCATCTGATTCAACTGATCTAAGAGTAGGTCGTCATTTCGTTCAGTTACTTTCGGAATATACTTGAAACTTGGGTTAATCTTGCGCGAATGCTCAAAATTTGCTCCTTTGTCCACCAGCATTCGAAGAAACGTCCTGTACTCCTCCAGTTTTAGTTTAATTTCCTCAAGTTGCTGCGTGGTTATGTCCTTGTCCAGCATTTGTCCTTTGACAGAATCGTACCGCTTGCGGATTAGGTCCAACGGCGTCCTTTGCTCCTTGTTGAGACGGTTTGTTTTGATGTCTTTTTGCTCCAGCAGCCACTGGGTGAAGCTTTTGTTAAGGCTCCGCACGGCGTAGTGGAGAGGAGTGTCCAGATCTCTCTGTATGGGCTGAGAAAAAAATGAGTTTTGGGGAAATACATTCTTTCGGGAAATACATTGCACCCCTCGAAACATAGGAAAATAGCGAATCAAAACAAACATAGCGTAGTACTAGAATTTCAACTAGAATGGGGTACGTTGATCGGTGTACTTGGGACCGATAGGCTAGTCCAGTGTGAACCAATTTAAAACCATTAGTTTCCACCGATTGATTATAGTACGTTCAGACTAAAGATACTGAATTGAGCAAAGAGGCGACATCTAATCAATTTGACAGGTCTTCTGCTCGATTGGAATAACTTTTCCTATGACTTTGACAGATAATCGATTGTTCAAGTTATGACATGTCGTTTCTTTATAAATTCAGCCTCTTTAGTTCACTACTTGAATAGCCTATTGGTCCCGAGTAAATCTATAAGCGTACTCCATTCTAGTTGAAAGTCTAGTACTACTCTATGTTTGTTTTGATTCGCTATGAAAGTTTGACAGATTAAATGAGGGGTTCGTGGATTTTCCTATGTTTCGAGGGATGCATCTTGGGGGATTAGCTTGGGACCGAAGATAGTACCAGAGCTGAGCCAAAAAGTTGAGCACCTTTCTTCGGGACCTTCTGGTCTTAGAGGTAGTTAGCACTATGTTATAACCATTTCTGAGCGATTCCAGACGAATTCGCAAATCCATTATTTTTCGTTCTTCGTCTTCTTCACATTTTAATTGCTTATTGCATAATAGCTTATTGTGTGCTCTCAATTTAGTGTTCTAGATGCACTTCCACAGTTTTTAATTGAAAGCCTTCGATGCCTGTACCATTTTGCATTAGTATAATTGTGTGGCAAGTACAATCATACTCTATTCCCAAGGAAATCGAGACATTTTCCAACCCGAAAAATTCATGGACCGGACCGGGAATTGAACCATAGAGGTAACTCTAAGACCACTGGGTCCCGAAGAAAATCATTATTATTATTGGCTCACTCAGTACCAGAACAACGGTCCCAAGCAGTCCCAAGCTATTTCACTCACCCCTGCATGTTCTGCATGAATCCACACACCCCTGATGTTATCTGTCAAACTTTAATAGCGAATCAAAACAAACATAGTGTAGTAATAGAATTTCAACTAGAATAGGGTACGTTAATCGTTTGCTTGGGACCAATAGGCTACTAAAGTGGTGAGCCAATTTAAAATCGTTAGTTTCGTATTGATTGTTGATTGAACCATCCAGCATGGTCTTGCTTTGTAGCTGCGCCTTTACCAACTGAGCTAACCTATATTTTTTTTTATTTGGCTTAAAATTTTCAGAACCGCTCCTCATTGCCAAAAGTGCAATTTTGCATCTTCAGATCACCATTTTAAATCATGCCTTAACTTTTAAAAGGGTTTATAGAAAAATGTTAAGTTTATCTTCAGAAAACTGTTCCTAGAAAAATATTTGCCCAATCGGTTTGGTATATCCGGCAATGTTTAAGGGAACATCAGGAACCATTTGAAAACAAAAAATGCACTCTAAAAAACGTTTTTTATGTTCTAGGGGACAATGAATGCCAATGTGTATAAGGTGCATGAAAAAAGGTCGCATTGTTTTATTTTTATATTTAAGAAGACACTAATCATATTGAAGAGCTGCCAAGAGATTTTTTATTATGAATTTCCAAAACTTTCGGAAAAATATATTGTTTGAACTGGAGAACGGCGAAATACATTCGAAAATAGCCAAAAACTACCAACTTATTTCAAACCGTTAAAACTCGAAAACCCTTTTTTTACTGTAAATTTGGCTGGCCAAATAAAAAAATACGAAAATAAATGGATTTGCGAATTTGTCTGAAATCACTCCTCTTTAAGGGCATCAACCGAAGACATCATATCAAGGAAACTTTGCCAGGAAACTTTGCTAGAAGCCATGGAATGGATACAGTAGCACTGCGCTTGAGCGCAGGCTGAACTAAACGCATTTGAAAATGAGCACAACGTGAACTTCTCTTCAGAGGTAGGAATCTGCCTTCAAATTCGTTCCGAGCATATTTTAGCGGTTAGACGACACGGTTATGCCTGTCCAATAGCGGTCGTATGAGATAACGCGGATGTTGCCAGTCTTTTTGATATGCTGTCTTCGATTCAATGCAATTTAATACCTCAAGTCCCGTTGAGTCGGGTGTTTTTTTTTTTCACGTGTGTTATGTTTTTAAGTACTTACCTCATTGACGCTCGTTTCATATTCGTCGTCCACTTCATACTTTTGCAGGATAATCTTCAGAAATGGTTCAAACAAATCAAAGTTTCTCAGCATTATAATTAGCGAAGGGTGTGTTCCAAGATTTTGCAGGGGCGTCTTTGGCGTGGGAATTTTTGACCGAAATGAAAACTTAGTTTTATCCTTCACAAGCTGGTTCACTATATTTATTTCTGGATTGACACGCCATTTCTTGAGAAGCTTTATGCCATCGGAAACCAATTTTTTGGCATTCGTCTGTGCTTGCTGCTTCGAAGTTTTACCATCAAAATACATTTCCCATTCAGATGGCAGTGATATATTTTTCAGACATTCAATAAAGCTGTTTTCGATGTCCTGCAGCTTTTTTTCTTTATCGTCAGCTTTCGACTTAAGATATGTAGCTGCTTCCTTGCGCAGTTGTTGCAAGGCGTAGCGTATGCGTTTTGTTTCTTCGTTTTTCAAATCCGAATCTGTGGCTGATATTTTAAGAAAATGTGTTTCCAACGCTTCCAATAGTGGACCAAAAGACTTGTTCAGTATGCATATCTTAAAATTGGCTAATGTATTCCATATTATTGGGCGCAGTACAATCCTGTTGTATTCTTTCACAAGTGGGGCCTGAAACAGATGGTTCTTTTGAGATGTTTGTTTGATAGATATGGTGTATTAAAAAAAAGCATATACAGTGCCCTTATACTAAAGAATAAGAAAGAATCAAGAAATCATACAAACCTAGATACAGCTAGTTTTACACATGATGGAATCGGGAATATGATTTTTGCTACATTAAAACGATGAAATGCTCCGTAAATCTTGAAGAAAGGTTTTATACTGCGTAACTACTCATAAATAATTACTATCCTGACCTTGTCTTCTTTTAGTCAGAGGAGCGAATCGAAAGATGATTCTAATGAAAAAAGATTCTAAAAGCAGCTTCTGAAGAGGTTTTTTTGGGAAGTGTAAGATTTCTTTCTAAACCTTTCTGCAACAAACACGTGAACTGCACTTTTAATCATTAATCTAAAAACTAACACTATCTCCCATAATCAGGAAACGCGGAAACTCGGTCCATTGCTCATTCGTGCTTTTCCTTTCTTCCTACCTAACGAGAATGATTCTACCTGATTCCGATATGTTTGCCGAAAGCACCGACCGTTTGTCGTGCTTTTCTTTTTATCTATTCTCGCAAATTCACAAGACAATATGCGCTCAATAGAAAACCGGAACGATAGTCCATAAATGGTTGGATGATGGAAATGATGGAACTAGTCCATAAATGGTTTGGATGATACCCCGAACCAGGCATACCAAAAGTACCGCCTCATGACAGTATTCCAACGGCTGTCGCTTTCTTTTTCCTACGACAGCCTTGAGATTGAGCTATATGTGACAGCTCACAGTGAAGGCCGGTGCACAATGCATACATTTTCGGGTTTTTTGACAGATAATGCATGGGCTCACTGTCAAAAAACCTGAAAACGTATCCATTGTGCGCCAGCCTTGAGGCTGTTATACGACATGCAACGTTGCCGTCTTGTGCAGTACACGACAGCACGACAGTGCGAAACCGAACTTTTTGTCAGTGAGAACCTCAACCTGAGCTGGGTTTTAAAAACAAACGATCAAGCTGACGTTTGTCAGAAAACAAGCAGACTTAATCTTGATACTTAGGTTGGAACTGAATAATAAACGAATTCGCTATTGACCAATAATGCACGGAATGAACTCACGATAAAATTTGACTTTTGAGCGGTGCCGTGTTAACTTAAAATGAACACATGATGTAATGCTCGCTAAACTTTAGAAAAGTTCCTATCAACTTTTGTAAACAACTTGTTAGGTCCTTTTCTCACGAGTCGAAGAACACCCACGCAAACCAAACCACTATCGGAAAGGGGAGAATTCACCCTACCCAATGGTGTTATTGTTTTGCATGGGCGTACTTCCGTTCGCGCGAAAAATGTCTAACAAGTTTTGTGTACATAAGTTGATAGGCCATTTTTAAATGCTACGCGAGTATTATTCATGTGTTCATTTTTAGTAAACACGGCACCGCTCAAACGTCAAATTTGTTCATGCAGTTCATTCCGTGCATTGGTCAATTAGGTACTGCAGCGTGACGTCACAAATGAACTCAGTGTTAATCGGCTGAACCTATTTGACAGTTCAGTGGTACTATTTACAAGCACTTAGAGGAAACGCTCCTATAGTTGCGGTACGTTAGAAGCGTTAGGTTCCTATAGTTGTGTATGGAGACTCAATACACAACTATAGGAACCTAACGCTTCTAACGTACCGCAACTATAGGAGCTTTTACCCTAGTCGTTTTTTCGAAAAAAATATATTTTAAAATTTCCGAATTTTAACTTGAAAATTGTCGAGGAAATGCGTGGTGAAAGGATGTGGCTCGTGGACATTGCAAATGTGTGGTTTACATCTCACTGCAATCTGAAAAATTATCCAGAAAATCTACCCAAGAAAAAATCGACTAAGTCCACGTAAACAGTACCAGTGAACTGTCATCAGATTGAAGTTCACCCCGACGGTGCAAAACCTAATTAGTCATGTATTTTGTTCGTTCGGCTATGACAGCCTCGGATGGTCATTCGTTACGTTCCTCGTACATACAACAAGCAGTCCGTCAAACTGCTGATTCGTTGCTGCTGTCTTTGAAATTTTGTTTGTATGTCGTAAGACTGCTACTACACTACCAGCATAGAGGTAACTCTAAGACAAGTAGTTCCCGAAGAAACGTGCTCAACTTTTTGGCTCACCTCTGGTACTATCTTCGGTCCCAAGCTTGTCGAATCACCCCTCGAAACATAGGAAAAACCAATAACCCCTCATTTTATCTGTCAAACTTTCATAGTGAATCAAAACAAACATTGTGTAGTACTAGAATTTCGACTAGAATAGGGTACGTTAATCGTTTGCTTGGGACCAATAGGCTACTAAAGTGGTGAGCCAATTTAAAATCGTTAGTTTCATATTGATTGTTGCTACCAGTGTGGCGCCGGAGCTCGTTCGGTTGCTATCACGTTCGTGCTGCCCATTGCAAAATTTTCTTTTTTTTTTCCTTTATTTAACGTCGGTCTCTGTTCCGCAATCTAGTGCCAATCACCGACGGACATCGATTGCCATCCATTGACGGCAACCGAATGTGCAGGAAGGCAGCTTCCACACCTGCGTAGGATATCGCACCCATTCACAACACACATGGGCCGGGACCAACGGCTTTACTTTCCTTCCGAAGGAAGACGTGACCAGATATTTTTATGCCTCAGAAAAATCCCACCAACCTCGGCTGGGGATTGAACCCAGACCTATTGGGGTGTTAGAAAGCAGTCACGCTTACCACCACACCACCGGCGCCGGCTGTTGCAAAATTTTCATCCGATATTTTTTAAAAACGCGCGGTCTCCGGCGAAAAATATAAGCCTACCCGACACCAACCTGACTACTATTAAACCCCAACCCGATGTTGGCCCGACATTGACCCGACATAAACGCATAATTGACCCGACATTTGGCCGACGTCGACCATACATTGACCTTACATTGACCCGACATCGGACCTACATATCTGTTCGGGATCATTCTTCTGGGTTTCTTCCATACTCCACTGCCGTATATCAATTGTATATAATGTCTCGTGACAGCCACTTGGGTAAGCTGAGGGATGTCGTCGGTTTGTGAAGGCTGTTATGACGACAGAAACATTGAGAACCTGGTCATAAAGAAATGCATAAATACAGCCCATTCCGTTCACTACGTTCCAAGCACGATGATTTTAGCAAAGCGGGTATAGATGCGACTGTTCTAATACAGCTTTCATTCGTTCGTGCGTGCGCTGTTGCCAATACACTTCAAATTCAGATCTGAACGTACCGTAGCAAGCGGTAGTAAAGCACACAAAGCACCAGTCAATTCAGGTATAAACCAACTGTCACGAGGAGGCTGTACTATTTGGAAGCCTGCCCCGAACACATCGTTAAACGAAGCAACCACAAATTTTTTTGTTACGCTCAAAAAATTTCACACGTCATCATCATGTGCCTCACACACACACTTATTGTGAAACACATCCATTTCATGTGTAAATCTTATGCTGTGAACCACGCCTGTTGGTTTAAATTGTGACACATTTGTAGTCTATGTGCCTCACATGGCGATATCAATAGCTTAGCACATCATAATGGTTCAATGTTGTACAATATTCTAATTTATCGACTTGCGTCTTTGAATTTCTCTGCTGGTATCATTTTCGGCGGTCACCAGTGAGCCCAAATACACGAACTCATCGACCACCTCGATTTCGTCACCGTCAATCTGAGCTTGGGGTGGGAGGCTAACATTGTCTTCCCTAGAACCTCTTCCTTTCATCTATTTTGTCTTTGATGTGTTGATGGCAAGTCCAATCCGCCTAGCTTCAGCCTTCAGTCTGATGTACGTTTCCGCCATCGTCTCAAAGTTCCGTGCCATGATGTCAATGTCATCGGCGAAGCCAAGAAGCTGGATGGACTTCCTGAATATCGTGCCACTCGTGTCTATCCCAGCTCTTCTGATCACACCTTCTATCGTGATGTTGAATAGCAGACACGAAAGTCTATCACCTTGCCGTAACCCCCTTCGAGATTCAAAGGGACTCGAGAATGTTCCCGATACTCGAACAACGCACATCATTCGATTCATCGTCGCCTTGACCAATCGCGTCAGTTTATCCGGAAATCCGTACTCGTGCATAATCAGCCATAGCTGATCTCGATCGATTGTGTCGTATGCGGATTTGAAATCGATGAACAAATGATGTGTGGGCACGTTGTATTCGCGACATTTCTGCAGAAACTGCCGAATCGCGAAAATTTGGTCCGTGGTAGCGCGGGCACTCATGAATTCCGCCTGGTATTGCCCCACGAACTCTCTTGTAAATGGTGACAGGCGGCGGCATAGAATTTGGGAGAGTACCTTGTAGGCGGCGCTCAGCAGTGTGATCGCGCGGTAGTTGCAGCAATCCAACTTGTCGCCCTTTTTGTAGATTGGGCATACGACACCTTCCATCCACTCCTCCGGTAATATCTCCTCCTCCCAAATCCTGGCAATTACCCAGTGCAGCGCTCTAGCCAGTGCTTCACCACCGTATTTTAATAGCTAACTTGGTAGTTGATCTACACCAGTTGCTTTGTTGTTCTTCAGCCGACCGATCTCCTCCTCAACTTCTTGAAAATCAGGGGCCGGTAGCCTGTCGTCTTCTGCGCGTGCTCCAAGGTATGTTGCCGTGCCACCTTCGTTTTCTACTGCTTCACCGTAGAGGTGCTCGTCATAGTACTTTTTCCACCTCTCAATCACCTCACACTCGTTCGTGAGAAGGTTACCGTCCAAGTCCTTGCACATTTCGGCTTGCGGCACGTAGCCTTTGCGCGAACTATTTAGCTTCTGGTAGAACTTCCGTGTGTCGTTTACGCGGTACAGATTTTCCATCGCCTCGCGATCTCGGTCTTCCTGCTGACGCTTCTTCCTTCGGAAAACCGAGATTTGTCTTTTCCGCGCTTGTCTGTATCGCTCCACATTCAATCTCGTGCGGTGTTGCAGCATTCTCGCCCGTGCTGCATTCTTCTCCT